GCATGCCATTCAACCACTCAGCCACCCTCCCCTCCTCCAGAGGCCCCCTGGAGTTACTCAGCAAGGCTGCATTATGCGCCCCCTTCCTCAGCATTTCCCACCCCACATCACGTCTGTCCCACACTGCTCAGCTTGCCCAGCCTGCTACAGCAGCAGCAGTGAGCAAAGCCAGTGGCTGATGATGAGTGACATCCAATCCCCCCCAGCTGCCCCCAATTATTTTTAAGCAGGCTGCCAAAATTCAGGCCATGGCTGCGGCTCACATCGGGGAGGGGGACTCATTATAACTGGTCTCCCCTTCCCGACTCAGAGCAGAGAACTGCCCTCCCTGACACACACTCACTCTAAGCTATGTACGCCTGAACATCCTGGTGGCCCAAAGACCACCACACCCAAAAGTAGGCATGCGCACAAAGATGTTTACACACGTCCCACATATAGATACCCATGTGCACAGATGGGTGCAGACCACAGGCACGTGACCTCACATGCCCCCGGTGTCTGCACGTCCATGCACACAGGGCTAGAGTCCTGCACACAGATTCCTGAGTGTGAACAAACACGCCTGACCCTCTGAGGCTCAGCACATGACAGCCACCTGTCAGGTGTAATGTGCCCTGCTTGCTCCCTCCTCCACACCCCACCAAGAGGCCCCAATTCCCTGGCTCCTGCAGAACTGAGTCACCCGTAAACCCTGGCCAAGCCCAGGCCCAAGCGCCCTTGGCCAGCCAGCCTCTACCATGCCCCTTCCCTTCTACTCCGGAATTTCCCTCTGAGGACAGTGCCCCTCACAGTTCTGTCACTCAAGGCTCCCTTTTCTTGCACCCATCCACAAAGACCCAAGCAGAGTCTGAACGATCATTCCAAGTCCTCCTGGGTGCATGTGGCCAGTGCCTGTGCCCCTCAGGAAACTGACCCAGAACCTCACTCCCAGCCTCGACCTGGAAAGGCTAACGTGGATGGGGCACCTGCCTCCTAGGTGGCCCATGCGCAACAGCCACAATTAGCCTTCCTGTGCCTCAGTTTCCCTCTCTGAGTCTCCATCCTGCCCTGGGGACTGCTCATTGCTCCTGTGGACACGGAGTGCACTCACTGAGGGTATGTGAGGCCAGAGCCTGTTACACGTGGTCCTGCCCCCGCCCCTCTTCTCTCGTCTCAGACCCTCACCAACACCCCCTCTTGCCTGCTGAGGTCCTCCATGCCTCTGCCTCGGGGAAGTCCCTCTGGGTTAAGCTTCTAAAGGGGCTCGGAAGCTTCAAGCCCACTTGAGACCACAGACTCCTCTATGCACAAGAACCAGAGACAGACAGAGGGCTGCAGCCACAGCAGGCTGATGGGGTCAAGAGGCCAGGCTGTCTCAGGACCTCTCTTCCCTTGGCTCACTGCCCCCAGCATGGATGGAGAAAGGCCTGACCTTGGCCTTGACACACAGCATCACTCACTGAGCACTGCTGTGTGCCATACACTCCACAGCAGCTAATCTCATTCTCTTAACCATCATGTGAAGCAAGGACCCCCACCCACCCACCCATTCTACAGAGGGTCAACTGAGGCATGGAAGGGTTGCATGGCTTGCTCAGTCTGTCGCTGACCACTCCAATCACGCTCACTCCGGGACCCCTTCCCCTCAGACATCACAGGTCTGGGCAGCCTCTGGGCTGCCCATCTGCACCAAAAGAGGAAAAAAAAAAAAAAAAAAGGAAATCAAAGGCTTTCTGAGGGAGGACCCAGCCAAAGCTGGGGGCCTGTGGGAGCACCTCAGAGCCAGGGCCAGATCTCCCGGGTTGACTGCCATCGGTGGTCAGGCCAGCGGTGAGCAGGGACGCAGGGAGCCCAGGCTGCGGGCGGGGGAGGGGCGGTGGGGGAGGGGCGCGGCGACGCGCACATCCGTCGCGTTTATCCACCTGGCAGCTCCAATTCGCCGGCCCGTCACTCACCCTCCGCCTCCTGGGCGCCTGCTGCCGGGCTGAGCCTAGGCCGCCACGCAGGCCCGGACCCCCACGTGGGGCCTCCACGGATTATCGGGCGGTGCACCGATGGAGGAGGAGAACCTTCGCGGACCCCTCTTTCCGGAGCTCGAGCACCCGAGGAGTGTATGCGCTTCCATCGTGTGGGCAAGGGTGGGGGGGCTGGTGGGCGGGGCCGCTGGGAGGGAGCGACCCACTCTGGGGTCCTCCGTCGCTACATGGGCAACTCGGGGGGCTTCTAGCACCCCCCCAAGATGAGAAAGGGGCGGGTAGAAGCGAGAGGGGGCTGAGGGGCAGCCCCCGGCCGCTGGGGGTGGAGCAGTGCGGCCAACAGGGGAGGGGGCGGTGACTCAGCCACCCTCCGCCTGCCTCCCCGGAACTTTGCCGCAGCTGGAGCCGTTGCTACAGGAACCTCATGCTTTTGTTCCTCCGTGTCAGGGCCGTCCGGGGGCATGCGGGTGGCTGGGAGCCTGCCACACCACCGTGAGACCTAGGTCCGACCACACTGCCCGTCAAGGGTTCGAGCCCCATCCCTCCCCATCACCACACCGGCCAGGCTCTGGGGCAAGGTTGCCACCTACCTCTGCCTTGGAACCCAACCTGCCCTACAAAAGTCCTGATACCATCCAACCTTCTAGAAGGGGCTTCTCTGGGCCTCAAGGGACCGATTTCCAGGACCCCCTAACAGGCCACCTACCTTTAGGGGTCTCTGACTTGGGTTTCTTCTCTGTACTAATCCTTCCTCCCCAGCCCCTACACTTAAACCAAGACCTGGGACGGGACCTTGTCCCACCGGTCACTGATACCCCCTGGCCAGACCTGCTCCCACAGCTGCTGGAGGACCCTTGGGAGGTTGGGGGACTAAGCCATCCTGAAGGACTGAAGGGGGGGGGTTGAAGCAAACCCCCCCAGAACATGTTTCTCCTTTCTGTTCTGGGATGAAGTGTGGATGGAGAAGGGCCTGACCTTGGCTTTGACGAGCGGCAGCCGACACAGCATCACTGAGCGCTGCTGGGTGCCAGACGCTCCACACCAGCTAACTTCATTTTCCTAACAACCACGGGAGGCAAGGAGCCCCCCTGTGCCCATCCTACAGATGGTCAGCTGAGGCTTGGAAGGGTTACATGGCTTGCCCAGTCCACAGAGCTCAGGCACCTGCCCCAAAGCGGGGTTTCTAGTGGCCAGCTACATTGCTTAGAAGGTGGAGGGGAGGGTTAGAGGCCAGCTGGATCTCCCTTTGTGTGACAGAGATGTAACCCACAAACACATCACACAAGAGCAATGGGGGAGGGGTGTGCCAGGGGAGGAAGCGAAGGGGGGAAGAGATCTCTTCTGACAATCTTGGTGGATGAGACACCCCCCCACACCCCTCCTGACCACCATCATCGAGGTGACATGCAGAGTGCCCACAGGGGACAGTGTCCCAGGAGGTGGTTACCCCATCCCAGGCTCTGCAAGAGATAGAACTCACCTGGACCCCTACCCTGCTTCGTGGGAAATACCAAGGGGTAGACAGACAGGGGTCCCCTGGGGACACCTGCCTCTGCCTCGAAGAGTCCAAGCAGACTCAGCTGATGCCAGAGGCCAGTGCTGCTGGTCTGTGCCTCACGTCTTCCAGGGCGGGGGTGTCGGGACTTGCTGCTGGGATGACCCCCCCCCCCAGCCGCCCCTCAGAGCATATGGCCTGCCGATCAGGAGTGTCTGGGCACACCTAGCAAGACGGTACCCGTGCTCACCCACCAATCTCCTCTCTCCAGGGACTCCCCAGCGCTCCAGCGCCAATCCTCCAGCTACCGCTCAGGCTCGGGCTGCGGAAACCCGGGGCTGCCGGCGGGAGAAGGGGCGGCGGGTCCCAGACTGCGGCCAGGGGGCGCCAGAGAACGCCCAGGGACCAGGCTGGCAGCTGGCGAGGCGGGCAGGCGGGTGGCATCTCGCGGCCCGGGCACCCCTCCCCCCCACCACGACCGCGGGCAACCGACCCGTCGCCCGCTCCTCACTGGCCGCGGCGCGAAGGACTTCCCGCGGCTGTACCCTCGGACCGACCGACTGCAAGAGTAGCCGCCAACTTCACAGCCTACGACGCCCCAAATCATGCTGGCCCCCAGGGCTGCGGGGAGGGTGCGTATGGAGTCTGGTTCCATGCCCCGGGTGGGTGGGAGGAGAGGGGTGGGGGATGGACACGGAGTCCCTGGCCTGAGAAGGACCCAGGAAGTCAAGGGATGCGGGTCCAGCCGAGATTGGAGCTAGAGGGGAGGGGGCTTGGAGCAGACACGGGGGACGCGGCCCCAATTCTAGGCTGGGGGAGGGGTCTTGCAGCAGAGATGGGCGAGGGAAGGCGGGACTCTGGGCAGATATGGGGGAGGGGGCACTCGGGACAGAAATAGAGGGGAGGCTGGTGCGGGGGTGCTCAATAACTCTGGCTAAGGGGACAACAACGACTCCGGGCAGAGACCAAGTCGGGGAGAGGAGCGGGGCCCGGCATCCGGAGTAGGAGAGATGGGGGCTACAGGGGGTGCACAGCAGAGCCGCAGGTTGGAGAGAAAGGCTCTCCTCAAGGGTGGGAACGGGGAACGCATCGCAGGAATCCAGGGCGAGTTACGGGAGGACTTGAGACGGCGGTGGGTGCACGGCCTGGGTTAGGATTCCGGGGGGAGGGAGGTTTAGCAAGCTGGGTGAAGGGGGTCGGCCCAGGCATGGGGGAGGGGTGGGAAACAGGCTCGTCAGTGTCGAAAATGGCCTCATCTCTCCCCCCTTTCCCGCCCCAGGTTTGGGAGTTCCCTAAAGGATGGGGGCCGGTTGAGCGCTAGCTACACGGAGACTCAGTTCAGGCCGGGGGAGAATTCAGCAGAGAATTCAGCTGGGGGAGCGCCCCAAGTCCCGGCCGGTGCGGAAACTCAGGACGGCGGCGGGAGGACTCAGTGGCGGGGGAGCTGGCTCGGGGCTTGGGGCCCGAGCACTCACCTGGGCGCCGTCAGCAGCAGGAGCGGGGGCCGGCGCTGGCGGGGGCGGCCACGGGGCGCAAGTTTGCCATCCCTAAGGCGGGGGCCGGGCCGGGCGCTGGGCAGCTCGCTGCAGCCGCGCGCAGGGCCGGGGGCTCCCGCCCCGCCGAGCGAAGGGTGCAGAGAAGACGCCGCGGAGCGCGGAGCAGCGCGGGGCCGGGCGGGCGCCGGGCCGGGCCGGGCGCGGGCTCCTGCCGCCGCCGCTGCCACCACCGCCGCCGCCGCCTCCTCCTCGCCGCGCCGCCTCCCGCTCCCCCTCCCCGAGCGCCGCCCGCGCCGCGCGCCGCCTCCTATTCGCGGGCGGTGGCCGCAGCCCCTGGCTGTAAGCGCCGGTGCCGCATCCTCCTCGCTGTCCGAGCGCCGCCGCCGCCTCCACCGCGGCCGCCCCGGGCTCCTCCGGCCGCTCCGGCCGCTGCCCGCAGCGCGCGCCGGGCCGAGTGACGGCCGAGGCGGGACGCGGCGCCTGCGCGGGCCGGGCCCGGGAGGGGGCGCGCGCCAGGCCGGGCGCGGGGAGCCGCGGGAGAAGGGGCGGGGGGCGGGGGCGACGCGCGCCGCCTCCTGTTAAAGGGGGAGCAGCGCCAGCCGAGCCGATCTCGCCCTCCCCCCCGCCCCACTCCTCCTCCCAGCCCTGGGCCCCAGGTAAGCCCCCGCCCCGCCCGCCGCGGCCTCCTGGACCGCAGAATGAGGCGATCCGCGACGCTTCCCCCCCCCCACCCCGCCTCTCCAGCCACACTCCGGGCCCGGAGGCAACGCGCGCGCAACCAGGGTCTCCCGCTCCCCGCCCCCCAGTCCCTCCGGAGACGGAAGCGTTTGCCCCCTCGTTTGCATTGCATATCGCGTGTCGCTGTGGATGCAGGTGCCATTCGTGGGCTCTGAACTTTGCATATGCATACAGGTGCCCTAAGCGTGCCCTGCAGTGCTGCCCGGTTCCCGTACATGAAGAACTACATGCGTTCATAGAAAATTAGCATGTGCCCAGGTCCTGGATGCCTGTGTGCTCATTCCGGTGCTTAGAGATGCTACATGTGTCCCAGCTTACAGGTGCCACACGTGCTGCCGGGAGCTGCTATGTGGGAGCCATGTATGTACACTGCAGTGTGGCATGTTTGGTGCATTCTCTGCAATGTTGCATGTCCCTAGGCACGGGGATGCTACACGTGTGCATGTGTTACATGTATTCCCTGAGTCCCTCTCTAGTCCCACTAGTGCCTTTCCCCGTGCCAGGGGCGCCCCCATGTTGCATCTGTTTGTGTGGAAGCAGCGGAGATGTAGAGACCCACCCCTTCCCCATGCTGGCACTGTGCCCAGGAGCAGTAGGGTGGAGCCTGCGCCTACAGGGTTAGGGTGGTGCCCAGGGAGATGCCCATGGCTCAGAGCCCCTGGTCGGGCGGTTTGTGGCCTGGGCATGCTGCCACCAGCAAGGTGGACAGGCTGGGGACACGCCGCTGTTGCAGCCAAGACAAGTAGATTGGCTAATCGGCCGACTGTGGACCGAGAAGGAGCCGGCAGGGGGCAGCTTTGCCAAGAGGGTGGGATGGGTTCAAGACGGGACTTTCTGAAGGTGCTGTAGCCAGGAGGCTGCCCAACCTGCCACCCAATCCCGGAGAGCCCTAGAGACGGGGCTGGGAGGGGCCGATGAAGCAGAGTCCACCTGTCTCCAGGAGCAGCAGCCAGTGGAGACCAAGAGCCCTACTCCGTGTGCCCTCCCCCGGGCCTCCCCCCAGCAGTGGCGGTGACATTTGTTGTGAGTGATTGTGAGAGATTATCGACTTTAATGGAAGGAGGTAATAAGGGGCAATGAAAGAATCTCACCCGTCGCCTCAAGGGATTTATGAGGCTGTATGAGGCAGGGAGGAGGGATGGGCAACACCTCTCCGCCTCCCCCACAGGGCCTCTGGCCTCCTGGATTCCTGCCAGGCACCCTCTAGCACGCGAGTATCTTGGAGATCTCTGAGTTTGGGGATTCCTGGGTTCCTGCTGGGCACCCTCCTGCACACCCTCGCTTCTCAGAGTTAGCAGGTTCAGGCTTTGCCATCTGCAGAGGGTGCAAAACCACCCTGGACACTGGGAGAACCCACGACCAAGAGGAGTACCCCAAAGTGGGCACAGAGGCTGGGATGTGGCCTGCCCACCAGGATGGGGCCCTCAGACTCCTTTAGTATACCTTCACACACACAATCCCTCCCTCCCTCCGTTGCTTCAGCCCCTTCCCCCCTCCAGGGAGCCTGCCTGCCTCTTGATGAATATTCATGATCATTAGCATACTAGAGACCCAGAGCCCATAGAAAGGCAGGCAGGTCTCCTGCAGATGTGATGCAGCTGGATCCCTTAGGCCTTTTTCCCCTTCCTCCCCCACCCGCTCCCCATGGCAGGAGCCAGCTGGGTGAGGGGGTGCGATAGCAGGGGCTGGCTCCAGAGACACAGCAGTTTTTTTGTCTGTCCCTCTGTTCTTCGGTGGCCCTTGGAGTTCTCAGCCCAGTACACTCAGCCACAGAAATGTGCATCCTGGGAAAGACAGGTGTCAGATAGTTTGAGAGACAGGCAGAGTTGATATCCCAGCCCCCCCTGGGGGGTGCGGAATTCTAGAGACATGGGAGTGGGGGCTCACCGAGGCTGCCAGAGCTAGGGGAGGAGAGCTGGAGCTCCCAGGGTTCCTGTGGAAGGAGGCCAGATCGTGGCCCACCTTGTGGAAGGCTCCCCGCCACATCAGGGCTTCTGTGCCTCCTTTCCCAGGAGCCCCTGCCCTTCCAGACTCACTCCGGTGCTAATGTCGCCCGGGAGGACTTGGAGTAATTACAAATCGTTTCCATATTCAAATCCAGCTGGTTGAAGAAAAATTACTTCTGCTTTGAAAGGCCCAGGCGGGGGTGGGAAGAACCAGTCTTAGCCCCAGGAGGGACCTCCAGGGAACCTGGGACAGAGCCAGGGCATGGGCAGGGCTAGCAGCCAGCCACACAGCATCAAAGGCAGGAGCCACCCCCTCGGCACGGCACGGCACGGCACGGCACTCCTCTCTCCCTGGACAGAAGACAAGGACTCCAACCCATCCACCCCATTATGGAGTGGAGGAGCCCCTCCCAGCAAGAAACTGGATGCAAGCCCTCTGCCTTATTCTTTCCCTAGCACCCCCCAATGGGGAAGGGTGACCTTGGGAAGGCCTCTTCTGCCTCTTGGACCTCCGTTTCCTAATCGGGGATGTGGCATTGGTGGCTGGGCTCCCGTGGGAAAGAAGGTGTGGATTAGCCAGGGCCCTGCCCCCAAATGGGACCTTCTAAATATGATTTTATGGCTGCTTAATGAATACTGTTGTTAGCAATAACCAGCCCTGACGGCCTGGTCGGGAGGAGGCACAGCCCACGAACGAGGCCACAGAGGGGCAGCCCAGTAGGGGATGGTGGGTGGAAGACTGAGAGCTCCTATGGCCTCTGCTGCGTGGCCGCAGCTGCGTGGCCACAGCCTCCCGCTGGGCCAGCCGCTGCCATGCTTCATTGCCCTTTAAACAGATGAGAAAATGTTCGTCTTCCCTTCCCAATGATTTATTTGGCCCAGAGCCTAGGCAGTTTGTCTTCCAGCCGGTGGGATTTAGGGTGCCCCTCATCCCTGGCTACCATTGCCACTTTGCCAGCACCTACATCCACTTGTGGCTCTAGGCACCAAGGTCTCTTTGCAGATACCTGTCAGGTGCTTCTAATGCATCCAAGATACCCCACTCCACATGGCGATTTTCTCAGCAGGATCTGCCCAGAGCTCACAAGACCAACCCTTCATGGCTTTGAACAGTATGCATCCTGCAGGACCAACCCACAAAAGATGGGCAGCATTCTCCAACAATAGGCAATCCCTGCAGAAGGGTCTTGGGTGGTCTTCCCAGGTACATGTCCTACCTGAGGGTGTGTACAGGTGTTTACAAAGCCTGGTATCCAGAGGCGACTTCATTCGGTCATCCACTCATTCAACAGATAAATGTTGAACTTAACTGTGTTGCAGTTCATCAGTTGTTACTATCTCCAAAAGCATCCATTCTCCAAATTCCCCATGCTTCCATGGGAGCCCAGCCACCATGACCATGACTCAGGGCCCATCTTCTCCCTTATTTCTGGGCTCCCATCTCCATATCCCCATTGCCCCTACTCAGTCCAGCCTGCTGGGGTGCACGGACCCTTCATTTATGGAGTGCTCCTCCTTCATCCCCCCCAGCAGCTTCCCACCCCCCCTCAACATGGGACCCTGCCCACCCACCACAGCCTCACCCTTTCTCCAGACTTACTTTGCACTCTCCACCTCCTCCCTACCCCATGCTCGCCTTGCTGTTCTTGGGAAACTCCAAACCCTCCCCACCAGCAAGTCCCAAGCTGACTGCTTCTTACCAGGGAAGTCTCAACTTTGATATCACCTCCTTTACGAGGTCTCCCCTGACTGCTCCATCCCAGGCCCCTACTATATTTCCTTTTGACTACATTTATGACTCTGAAAACAGAGGTTGTTAGTTTATACACACACCACCCATCTCTCTCTGCTCTGATGTGTGAGTTGTATGAAGGCAGACATTTTGCCCATCCATTCATAAATACTACCTCCATGGAAGGATATACCGAGTCCCCTGGCACCTAGCAGCATGACAGGTACAAGGTAGGTTCTTCGTTATCTTAAAAAAATAGATTAGGGCTGAGTCAGTTCAAAGCCAGGAATTCCATCCAGGATCCCACATGGGTAGCAGGAGCCCAAGTGCCTAGGCCATCTTCTGTAGCTTTCCCGGGAAGTTCAGCATGGAGTTGAATTGCAAGCAGAGTAGCTGAGACCCAAACCTACATTTACATGGGCCGTCAGTGCATTACTGCCCCACGATGCTGACCCACAGGTAGGTTCTCAATCCATACTTGTTGCGTGACTGGCTGACAAGAAGCCAACCAGGCACCCTGTCCACATGAGCTTCTCCTTAGCAAATCCAGGTTTCAATTTCCCTTGTGATGCACAAGGAAGAGCCCAGGTTCTGGGGTCCCCGGGCCTGGGAGGCTGCCCCTCTCCTCACTAGTCGTGCCACCCAGGGCAGGGCCTCTGTGCTGTCTGAGCCTCAGTGTTCTGTGAGATGGGGACAATGGCCCCACATTGCAGCACTGATGTGGGTCATGTGGGACGATGAAGGGGATGTCCTCCCACAGGGCCGTGGCCAGAGAGGGTCACTTCCGTGGAGGTGAGCTGCTCTGGAGCTGGCTCGAGGCCAGGGGCTGTGCTGGGTGCTGGGGCCTTGGCCTGGATGCCAGCTCACAGCCACAAGAGGAGCCCAGCTACCACGAGCCACGTTCCTGCCCGTGAGGTCCTGCCTGGGAGCACGGGGATCCCTGAAACCAGCCCCGCCTTCCCGGCAGCCTGCCTCTCCTTACTTGAGAGCCCCCATTCCCTGTTTTCTTGCCTGCATGTACAGGTAAACACATCCCTGTGCACACATTGCATTGGGGTTCACATATAACACACTGACAGGCACACATGTGCACAAACATACACACGTTTTTCTGTTCCAATGGGGACTTGACTGGTTTGTTTCTCATTCTTCTCTCCTG